TGTATGGATTGCGATAAGAGTTGTATGAGCCCCTAATAAAATGATTTAAAAAAAAAAAAAAGAACCCTTGTAGCCATGGGAACTCCAACATTGTTGACGGGGAGCCGTCCTGGCCAGGGACACAGACTCTTCACAAAAAAATAAAATAAAATACTTTGCTGGGTCTAACAATAACGCAAAAGCAAATGTTCTTAAAACCTACCTTCATTGACATCTTTGTTTTGGGACTTGGCAGAATCAATTCCCGATGATGATGGACCTTCAGAATCATTTGCATTTTCTTCAGCGGCTAACTTCCTTTTTTCCTTAAGAATGGGATTGAAAGTTAGTGATTCCAAACACTAATGCTGATTGGGCCCTCCCCATTTGCCTTGTTTTCTATTTCCCTCTATAGTCTATATATATAAAAGTTTTGCACTTAATGGAGTCTACAGGTTAACAGTCCACGCATTTCAAAATATTTAAGCTTTATGCTTCAGTTTGAAATCAGTCGTGTAAAAATAATTTGAAAATACCATCTTGACTTCATTAATACACGCATGGCAGCTTAGTCCCTTACATAGAGTCATAACACTACCAATTAAGTGAATTAGGGCAGAACATCTGTCAGCTGCTTTCAAGAGGTGTAAATACTTTTATTTTCCCCTCTAACATCAAGTAATTGGGGGGATATGGAAAGTTCGAGTCATTTGATGTGTTTTGAGTACTAAGAAATATATATATATATATATGAAGATTTTTTGTGATCAAACCAGAAAGTTGTGTGGATTTTGGTTTGATCTTTTGGTAGGCTGCAGCATACCACTGGGAAACGCCTAAAAATGAGACCTCAACCCTCCTGTTTAGACTTGGAAAATGGCGCCCTGAAATGAGTGACTTGTGTACCCAGTCACAAAGGCACTCACTGGTTACTAGAACTAGAACCTCTCCAATCCCCACCACCACCCCGTTTAACTCGTCGCCGTCGTTCCCAAACTAAACTCACAGCTATCCATCGGGTTCCCAGTCATAACGACCCTATGGGTTCCGAAACGGGAGTTGAAAAGTTCATCTTTATCCCGAGAAGGGGATAGCGGTTTCGAACTGCTGACTGTTAGGTGCGAAGCCCAATACAAACCACCAATACAAACCGCCAGCCATCGTTATTAGCTGCCTTTTAACGTACTGACGCTACACTGCCGTCAAATACACTTTCTTATTTGGAAAAGAGAAAACTTTACCGAGACAAAAGACAATTCAGGGGCGGGGCAGGAAGTGGGGACGTTTAGGGCGATTCAACACAGGGGTAAGAACGGAGGTGCGGGCTAAGATGAGGTAGGCAGAGGGGAAGAACGGGCGCGAGGAGTTCCTGGCCTGCCGTCACTGCGAGAGGGTCCTCTGCGCCCCGCAATCGCGCTCCGTGGACGCGGAGACAAAGGGGATGGAATGGTCGGGCCAAGTCTCCTCACTTTCTTCTCGCGGGCTTTTCTCTCTTCCCTCCGCCCTTCGAACTCCTCAAAGGAGATTTTCCCTTCCAAGTAGTCGATGAGCTCCGGACTGAACCCCGACATGTCGACCGGGTCCGGCTACGCAACCCCCAAGAAACTACCCCGACCGCGAACCGGAAGAACAACGTCGGCCAACCCCTCCCCTTCCCGGGACCCGGCGCTTTGGAGAAACAGCCCGGGCTGCGCCGCGGCCGCCGTGCTCGAGTTCCGCCGGAAGTGCCGGCCGGGCCGCTTTTCCGGCCTGCTCGACCGGAAGTGCCCCGGGACTCGCCGGGGAGGGGTCCGGGTGCGCTGGGTCCCTGGGCTGGCTGCTCGTGTTGAAGGTGGTCTGGCAGTGGAGGAAAGTGTTTTGAAGCGATTTTCTGTGATCTAGAGGAGCTACTCCGGATCCGCTGCCAGGGAGTCGATTCCGAGTGCTAGACTCGAACTGCTTGCTCCCTGCGGTTCCAGGCCGCCGACCTTGGAACTGGGGGTTGTAACTGCGGGCCTTGCGATTAGCAGCTCTGTGCGTTCACTCCCCGCGGCGCCCGGCTCGTTCCCCTCAGCGTGTTTGATTCGTTCCCTCCCAAGACGTTTGTTCTTTAAACTAATTCTTGCTGGAGTGGTTTGTTTCTTAATCGAGCCATTGGCTCTGCCACATCCACTATCCCGCTTTCCGCTGCCTCGGAAACCTAGACTCCCATGAAGGCCGGTTTACGCTGGAAATCCCATCCTCCTCGTTCAGGAATGCTGCGAGTCTTCCCTTCTTGCAGCAGACTTGGAAACTTGCGAAACTCCCTTTTTTTAGTTAGGGCTCCTGCTCCGTTTGTACGTGGGTTATACAGACTTCACATTCCACACGGAAACTTCGCCACCGGGGCCCTTTTCCTGACAATCTAGCTTTATAAACCGACTCGACAGGGCTATCTTACATTGTTACCCATCTCCGAAAGGCCCTGCAGATTTCAAAACAACCCTTAAAAGTGGATATTGTACGTCCTAATGCCAGAGTCTCAAGTCTAATAAATCTGGAGGCTGTCTGACTCCAAATCTCATGGGTGGACTGATGATACCCCCCCACTGCCTCCCCTCCGAGGGAGCCCTGGTGGCTTAGTGGTTACGCCTTGGGCTGGAAAACCACAAGGTCCATGGTTTCAAAAGATGAGACTCCATAGAGTTTCTGCCTGGGACCTGAGGGCGGTGCGTTTGGGTTTGTCTAATTTGTGGGGTGGGCAGCTCCTCGGCAGTGTTATTTTTCCTCCTCACATAACCATGTGATAATTTTATCCTGTATTTGAATGATTGCTCTGCTACCTACCATGTTGTGAACAAGTATGTTTTCTACTTCCCATGTCTTTGTGAACCCTAGTCTACAGACTACTAATATATGCTCATTTCTTTTTTAACAAAGGAATTGGGTGGCATTGAAAGTGCCTTTGGGATGGCAGAGATGGGCATGGGAATATAGTTCAATATATACAGCTAAGGTTTGAGACAAATTACAGGGAACCTATCATTTGGCCATCTCTGCTTCTGTACCCAACCAGATGAGGATCAACAGCAGTTAGGCTGGCAGATGGAGGGACCAGGACCTGAGAGGGGAAAACTCCACTGTCCACCCTCCACCCCCCTTGTTGAACACAAAATAAACCATCAAATAAGCATTTGCCCTTGGCAAAGCGCAAAGAAAGGCGTTTACCGGGAAAGAAAAATTGCTCACAGCTAGAAAGTACAGTCCCCTTTCTCCTAGTAAGGATGGGTCGTGAGTGGGGCAGGGGCTGGTTAAAGTAATCTGCACAATATTAGAGGGGAACAGGAAGTCCTATGAAATCAAGTCTCTGGTACTAAGGGGATCGGGAGATATCAGAATGAGGAGAGGTGGATACCCAATGAGGAGGCCAAGAAGCGCTCTGAAAATCCCTGTGAGGATGCTGCTTGCAAACTTGCCTGGACTCACTAGTTTACTTACTGTCTGCTCAGAATATGGAAATGGCGATACTGGAGATTTAGATTCGTTTTACAGAGAATTGGGGAGTAGGGGTAGAAGCATGGTTTCCCTGCTACAAAACACCTTGATGACGTGAATACTCTTTTTAGCGGTCAGAATGTAGCAAACGATCTTAAAAGTGTAATTGGTCTATTTTTTCTTTTCACTACTTCCTTGTGGGTGATTTGTCCCCTGGTGAGTCAGAGACATCCGTGTTACCTTGAGATTAAGTTCAATTGTTAGAACAGTAATGAAAGCAGACAAAGAAACCAATGTTCTGTCTGGGGGACTTTTGCAGACTAATTTTTGAGAATTAAAGTGGAAGGTTAAAAGGAATAAGAGAGCATGGAAGAATGACACGATTCCTTCCTTGCCCCTGGTCAGGGGAGAAACAAGGTTAGAAAGGAATCCTTGTCAGAAAATACCTTTTTCCATGGATTTACTGCTTTTCTGCAAAAAGCTTGTGGCAACTTTCAAAGCTTGTGGGCTGCATTTTCAAGGATGTTTGAAAACAAGCCCTGAAAGATAACAAATACCATCTCCTTGGAATCAGAGACCAGATTTCCCCCCACTGACTTTATTGTTGAAGATTCACTAGTAGTTCCGTAACAAGGAGAGGAAGGGTAGTTTCCTAAGTTTGAGGTTCCTCAGTACTGACTCGGGCCCACTGTGTATACAGCAGTCACCTGCGCCACCGCTACGTGGTCCCTACAGTCCTTGGCAAATAAAGGAGCAGATACAAATGTGAATCGCATGCTGCCTGACGCACCTTGAGTAACAAAGTTCACTGTCTCAGATGGCACACGTGGTGGCCAGCAGGTTAGCTTGCAAGCCTGTTCTTGATCGCCCTAGATCAGGAGTCAGCAAACTTTTGAGGCAGAGGAGCCATCCCTGTCCCTCACAACCATTTAAACATTATAACCGTAACTATGTTTTTTACAAACAAATGAAATCACCATTATTTGAATAATATGCTTTAAATGAAACTACGATAGTTTTCATTTTCACTTCAGAACCACATGCAGGTACAGAAAGAGCCACATGTGGCTAGAGAGCCGCAGTTTCCGGCGCCTGCCCTAGATCTATAAGACGTGCTGGGGAGGGGGCTGCACGTTGAAGAAGGATCGGGTCAGTGTTGTGAGGCTGCCAAGACCCGTGAAGCTCTAGGAATGAGCTCCTGTGGAGCACTGATGTCCTTCTGCTATTTTCTGAATGTATTGTGAGCGGCACACTCCGAGTGGTAGGTGTGCAGAGGGCTGTGAGCACCATGGAAGCCCAGAGCCCATGTGCAGAGTCCCCACGTGAAGTGAGCTTCCACTGAGTGCCTTCTGACCACTGACCAGGCATGGAAATAGTCACATGCTCAGGCAGAACGCATTAGAAAGTAGATTACTACCAAGACCCCTAGCCAGGCCGGGGGTGGGGACTCGTCTCCCTTAGAGGTTGATCTCAATGAGCCCTTGCTGGTGACCCCCATCCTGGAGTCAGACAGTTCTGAGTCATGCTGTGGCCACCTTTGGACCAATCTTGTTAGCTCTTCTGTCTAACGTAATGTGTGTCCCCCAAGCAGAGTCTCATTCTCGCTTCTCTAATCCCACCTGTAACTGTGATGTCTTGTTCTACCGCCAATCATGCTTTTATGATCGTTTCCTTTGCCCTCCTGTGCCTTTTTTTGAGTCTCTGAATCTCTGTAAACCCTTTGACGCCATTGTGACTTCATGTGAAAGGCCACTCGCATCAAGATGACGTGTCTGACTGTGTCTTATCTTTGGCCTGTTCAAAATGTAATACAGTTTAGGCTTAGGTTATATTTGAGACTTGGAGTCTCTTCTGTGCTTTCCCAGGGGAAAATCATCACGAGGTTATAATCGTGAGAAAAAACAAATTTTATTCAACGTAGGCAGTAAAGAAATAAGACTGCTGGGAAACTCAATGCTATGTCTGATGGAGTCAAAAGAACACTACAGACTGCCAAAATAAACCGGAGTCATGCACATCCCAAGGACAGGCAGATGGATTCTGAGCCCCCACTGAACTCTAGCCCTACTCCTAGAGCAGTTAGTTCTGATAACATGACCCTGCTCGATACTCACCTTCATGAAATGATCACTGAAGACAAAGGTGCTACAGCAAAGTGTGATAAAGAAAACAGATGGTGCCCGGCTACCAATCGGAAGAGTCTGCAGTTTTAAGGGATTGTATTCAAGCAAGCAGCCATCTAAGCAAGTAGTCAACTAAGTGCAAATGGAAAAGCACACCAGCTTGTGTGATCCAAAGATGACAAACACAGCAATCGTAGAGCACAGAACAGAACTGCCCTTTGGGTTTCTGAGACTAAATATTTACAGGCGTAGAAAGTCTCATCTTTTCCTGTGGAGTGACTAGTGGTTTTGAGCAGCCCAACGCATAGCCCGCCACCATACCAGGCTCTCTGCAAATTGTGGCGACATTAACCAGAAAGACTCCAAGTATTTATTTACATTGGCCACATAACTAGGTATGGTAGATAATGGGGGAATAAAGATGGATTAGGTAATGCTATCTGTTCACAAAGACCTCTGCAGGGAAAACAGACATAGATACAACTAATTACACTAGATCTTGAAAGAAAAAGACTCTCACTCTATTTTTAAAGACTCTTCACACAATGAGAAAAACATACAAATGCATGTGATGTTTACAACCTGAAAGAATGACAGGAACATCCTTTAATTCTATCTCCAGAAGGATGCAGGCCCTTATGGTGCCAGAGTCCAGCAGCGTTTGGTGGAACTGATACAAGTGAAACTCAATTGTATAGACCCAGGCAACAGAGCCATCAGGGCAAAGACCCAAGCTAAGCACTGGTAAAGTCTTGTCTGGATATGAAATGCCCTTGCAGGCCTAGCCACTTACAGCTCCAGGTGCACTGGGCATTGAAGCCAAGGGATCTGCAGCTCAGACTGAGCCTTGCCTCCAAGTATCCTTCTCCAGAAGAACTGACGCTGGCACTCTGGCTGCACCCTCTGGCCTACAGTCTGTACTTACGTTTGCTGCAGTATTTGTGCTGTGTACACAATATTTCTAGCAAAAGCCTTTGGTTTATTAAGGCATTTGCAAATTATAATTGACTTAGTATGTCAATCACTCCCCAAAAATGGACATTGTGAAAAGACACAATTGAGTGTGCTTGAAGCATCATTACAGTCAACGATTCCATTTGGGTGCTCTCATGATACTAAATCAGATGCAAAGTTTGTTCTTGCACAAATATCTTATTCTTGATAGTCTGTAACAAGTAGCCACAATAAACACATTGAAAACTATTTTGAAATATAACCCCAAACCTATCAATTCATTTTTGTCAAGTAGATGCCAACTTGTCGGGGTCCTCTAGAACAGAGCACCCCTGTCCCCTTGGGTTTCCAATGTGGTAAATCCTTACGAAAGTAGACGGCCACATCTTTCTCCCTGGGAGCCACTGGTGGGTTTGAACCACCAACTTTTCAGTTAGCAGGCAGGCATTTAACCACCTGGACGCCAAGGAGCCATGAAATATAGCAAAGCCCCTTTCAAATAAAAATACTTATTGATCAAAGGAATAGACATAAAGATACATTTAACAAGTAGGCTTTAATGAAGCATACTTTAGAAGGTCATCACATCTTTTGACCTTCTGGACTTTTGGTGACTCTTACATGTAGTGCTCTATGTCAATTTTTATGCTTATAGAGAGAAGAAACATTCCCAACGTGCACATGGGAGACACACGTTGCTTCAAAGATCCAGCTACTTCTATGTCAATCTGAAAATGTCAAATACAATCACACCAAATTGACAAGTGAAAACAGGGAAAACACCAAAATTCAGCTGTGGCTTTACTGATGTTTCCTAACAAGACTCTTCTGTGGTTTAGGAATAGCCAGGACCTGAAAGAACAAGAAAATGTGATGATAAAACAACCACAAAGACTGTATGTGAGATCAACACACAGACCCAAAGGTTCACATGTTTCAGTGAAAATGGTTTGTCCACCTTTTCTAATCAGAGACGTGAAGGAGAGAGCTAGTGAGTATGAAAAGAACGCCAACCCCCTGACGTCAAGTGGATTGCGACTCATCGTGACCACGTAGGACAGAGCAGACCTGCTCCTGTGGCTTCCAAGACTGCATGTTGACAGAGTGGAGAGCCTCATCTTCTCCCGCTGTGATGATGAGATAGTTCCCGAATCAAGAACCTTGCTTCTCTCACCCTGCTGAATCATTCCTACCAAATTATAATACTGCCAGGGTGCTTCCTAGGCACCCTGCCCTTATTACATATTACCTCACTTCATGCGCACAGTGAAGTATTTATGGGACATGTTCTATAATGTGTCTATAAGGTCCTCTGGGAGCAGATTGCCTTAAGCGGAAGTCTGGGAAAGGAATTCCTGGACTCCCGAGTGACAGAGCGCATTATGGGACAGTCTGAACGTCATTCCCTTCTTCAACAGGACCCTGACATGCCACAGTGTAGGCAAAGGCCGTGGGAAGGAGCTGACAGCTCAACCCGGGAGCTGAGGCATCCGATGGTCTGACCTTGGTCTAAGACAAAGTGGACACTTTCCCTCCTGTTCCCAGGGAACACAGCATTCGGCAAAATATCAGTTGTTCTTTTTTCTTGGCTTTATCTTCCCCTCTGGACCATGGACAAATTGGCTAAAACATTCTTGCTTCTTTGTTTACCTTCAGAGAATTGTCAACAAGCCCTTAGTATGAGAACTTGTCGTAGGAGGCAGGGTACTTGGCAAGTACTGTCTATAAGCCTGCCTCGAATAAAGATCTGGGCCTTGGACACTCTCCTCCTTGAGTCCCCAACACCCAACTTTGTCTCTCTCTCTTTTTAAATCATTTTATTGGGGGCTGGTACAACTCTTACCACAATCCATATGTACATCCCTGTGTCGAGCATATTTGTACATTTGTTGCCATCATTGTTCTCAAAACATGTTCTTTCTACTTGAACCTTGGTATCAGCTCCTCATTTTTCCCCTCCCTCTTGTACCCTCCCTCCCTCCCGAACCCTTGGTAATTTGTAAATTATTCATTTTTCATGTCTTACACTGTCTGATGTCTCCCTTCACCCACTTTTCTGTTGTCCGTCCTCCAGGCAGGGGGTTATATGTAGATCATTGTGATCAGTTCCCCTTTCTCCCCCCCTTCCCCTTCCCCTTCTGGTATCTCTACTCTCATTATTGGCCCTGAGGCTTTTATCAGTCCTGGATTTTCCAACTCTGATCTGTACCAGAGTACATCCTCTGGTCTAGCTGGATTTGTAGGATATAGTTGGGATCATGATAGTGGGGGGAGAGGAAACATTAAAGAACTAGAGGAAAGTTGTATGTTTCATCGTTTCTATACTGCACCCTGACTGTCTCATCTCCTCCCTGCAACCCTTCTGTAAGGGGATGTCCAGTTGCCTACAGATGGGCTTTGGGTCTCCACTCTGCACTCCCCCTCATTCACAATGATATGATTTTTTTGTTCTTTGATGCCTGATACCTGATCCCATTGACACCTCATGATCACACAGGCTGGTGTGCTTCTTCCATGTGGGCTTTGTTGCTTCTGAGCTAGATGGCCGCTTGTTTACCTTCAAGCTTTGAAGACCCCAGATGCTATACCTTTTGGTAGCGGGCACCATCAGCTTTCTTCACCACATTTACTTATGCACCTGCTTTGTCTTCAGCGATTTTGCCGGGAAGGTGAGCATCATGGAATGCCAGTTTAATAAACAAAATATTCTTGCATTGAGGGAGTACTTGAGTAGAGACCCAATGTCCATCTGCTACCTAATACTAAACCTATAAATATGTGCACATAGATCTATTTCCCCATATATTTACATATGTACATGCCTATATTTAGACTTCTATAAATGCCCTTTGTCTCCTAGATCCTTCCTCTATTTCCTTTACTTTCCTCTTGTCCCACTATCACGTTCAGCCTTCATTTGGGTTTCAGTAATTCCTCTCAGTTACGTTGCCCTTGATCAAGCCCTACCAGTCCTCCTAAACCCTTCTCGCCATCGATTTTGGATCACTTGTTGCTCCCTTGTCCCTGGGGTGTTAACACCCACTTCCTTTCCCCTGCCTCCCTCTCTTCCATGTCCCCCCAGAACCATCGGTCCCATTGTTTTCTCCTCCAGATTGTTTATCCCGCCTATCTTATCTAGATAGACCTGCAGAGATAATAATATGCACACAAAAAACAAGTCTAGCAAAATAAGGCAAAAAAACAAAACAACAAAACAACGACAAAAAACAAAAAGAAAAGCCTGTAAATAGTTCAAGGTCTGTTTTTTGACCTTTAGGAGTCCAGCTTTGTCTCTTGTCTTTTATCTATACTCTATTTTTCTCAATTTCGATTGTGTCACTCTTGTGCCTGGTCAATTTGTGAGAGCTGACATCTTACAAGGTAGTAGTGATTACCATTTACAATTTTCAGACCAAATAACTGGTTTACAAGCAATACTGCTACATTCTAAAGTAGTTGGTCATTGTTAGCTGCAGGCAAGTATACACACACACACACACACACACACACACACACACACACACACGGTGATCTTGTGCAGGGGGATAAAACCATTGTGATCCATAGGTTGATTTTTGGAGGTTGACCTGCCAGGCCTTTCTAGACTGTCTTAATTCATGGAAAGCTTGCTACAGCAGCATCAACATTCACAGAACCACATCACAGCAACATTCAAGGTTCTACTGACAGGGGTGATGGCTAACTTTGAGATTCATCGGCCAGAAATCCAAAATGGGTCTCCCAACTAGTGAGAATTCTACCACTGAATTACGACTGCCTTTTCTAAAATAGGTACTGTGGTTTTAATAACTATTCTGCTATTGAAGCTCCAAGGCCAACATTCCCTTTTCTATGGCTCACCTCTTAGTTCCCTGCTTGGTTCTCTGTGACCTACCCTCCTCTTACCTAAATCCTCCATCCCAAGACCCTTCTGCAAACAAGGGCCCAGTTGAAACGGGCTGAGAGCATGAGTGGTAGATCCATCAGTGTCCTTCAGTTCACCTTGGACCCAAGAGTCACTGGGAGGAACCACATTATCTGCCCACTATTCTACTGGATTCTTTCTCAACAGAGAGTTCTGTCTACACACCACCCTGGAGACCATGACTCATCAACCAGACTTCTGTATGTGGCTAGGGATGGGATAAGAGGCGGAACATTGTGGGAAGAAGTCCCTGAAAAGCCGGAAAGGATAAAACACCCAATTCCGGAAGCTCATGACATTTTGGTCCAGAGACTCCACACTGCTCTTTTTCTGCGCAAATGATAAAATCCCTTTCTGTTCCCCTTGCACACCGTGCTCCCTTTTTTTCAATTGACCAATGAAGTGGGTTTGGTCAACAACCCTTGGTTTCAGTGTCTGACACTCTAGGGCCTACGTGTGAAAAATGGTGAAGGGAATCCTTCATGGACAGATTTCTGTTTGCTCTCTGGGTTATCATCTCATTCTACCAGTTTCCCAGAGCATATGACACATGGTTGATTGGCTATTCTTTCCAGACTAGCAAGCATATTTTTTTTAACAATCACCTTTAAAATCAATAAAAATCAAAATATTTTCATAACACAATAACGTTGTGGTTCCTCACCTCATCGTCTGTAGATTTGGAGAAGACTGGGAATTGATTTAATTACTTTTGAGCTCCTTTTATTATTCAGCTGGATAAGAAGCTAGTGGACTAGAGTGGAATCAACCTATTTCCGTAGAATGCACCATTCCTGGTTCTTTTTAAATGGTAGTTATGTGTTTGATATGGATTCTAAAGTAATGTACTAAATTTAAAATCCTAAACATAAGTTTAAAAAAATTACATAAGAAAAATGGCATCTTTACTAACATTCCACTCTTTCTGTAGTCGTTGAGAAAGTTCAAGCTCAAATACGTGCTTAGTTAGTACTTTTTCCCAAAGATGCCATTATTTTAATTTTCACTCTCCATCCAATCCACCAGCTCAATTTGACATATTTCCTTTACATGTGATTTTCTGCATCATTTAGATGACTTGGTCTGAGTGAAGATGCAGGTAACAGTGTGTGCTAGCTCATGATGTTTAATAACTCAATCAGGAGGGTTAATTCTACTACTTTAGTATCCTTTCCCCCTGAAAACTTTACTTAAGGAACTATAACTGTCATTATTTTAAAAACTTAACCATAAAATACCTGAATCAAGTCCAAATATTAACAGTGATGAGTATAATTAGAACTAAGCACTTATTTCTCCAGGGTGGGGTGGGGGATCATTTTTCAAATAGATATTTTCAAAATCTTTTTTATGACTTTATGACTGAGTTGTATATTTGCAGAGAGCCTGCAAAGAAAGCGGCAGATTTTACCTGTGCTCAGAAGGAACGTTCAGCCTTTGGGATCACTGGGAGGGAGCTTTTCTGCTCTTCATCATCTCTAAATGCAGAGGCAATGAGTTCTGAATGGAAAGACAGCGGCCTGGGGTTTTCCTTCACGGAGAAAGTATTTGGAAACGTTCCAAGATCGAGACCTCTTCCTTTAAAATATGCCTGAAGGGCTCTGAAAAACTGAAGAGGGCATGAAAACATGCAATTGCCAATTGTACACCAACATTCTGAGTTGACTTATTTTCCTTTCCCCTTTGAATTTACGTTAGGGCTAATTTGGAGGCAGGAGATTGTAGACCCAGAAACAAAAATACAAACTACTTCTTCCCCTCACTCCCTCCCCCATCCTTCACCCTGCCTTCTTTCTGACAGCTCAACCCCAAACAAGGGAACTCACTGTACTGGGTGGGAATAAAGGAGGGGCATCAATTACTTAAAGGCATCACAGTCAGATGGTTCGTTGTAAACCACCTCTGGATACTGAGGCGGGAGCAGGAACAGTCCTCTCTCCTCTGACGGAAAGAGCTCAGTCAAGGCTTGCTGCACGATACTGTTCAGCCTTAGACTTTTCATCTTTCTTTTAGAAAACAATTGTGCAGAATATCTGCATAGTTCTATTGGTTTGCTGGTTTTCATCTTATATTGCATGTCATTTATTTTTTCAAAATCCTGTATCGTTTTCATTTGAAATCTCAATGTGTGTTTTGTAATTGGCATTTTTATTTAAACAGGGTTGTCACTGGTCTTTTAAATTCTGTTTTCAAAAAAAAAAAAATTCTGTTTTCCTGGATAACGCCATATTGAAAATCATGCTTGGTCATTTGTTAGGAATGCAGAGTCAGCTTTCAATTGAGCTTCGCCACTGTTGGTTAAATGAGCTCTCCAGGACCAATTCTATATGTAAAGCATCACCAGTTCAGTAGTAGCTGTGCACAAAGCAACTTTGGCCCATTATGCTCTTCACTTTTTATATGTAGCAGAAAGCAAGGCTATGAAGTGTACGTGAGATCACTTTCCAGTGCAATGCATTGTGTGTGTGAGGGAGATTATTTCTAAGTAACAAAGAATTTCTCATTGCACCAACAAATCTTCATTAGCGAGAGCAACCACAGGGTGTCAACTACTAGGCTAACAAACCAGGAACAAAACCACCCTGGGGAGCTTCTTGTCTGTGTGCCTCTAGCATATAGGGTGGGGTGTACATAAACGCAGAGACGTGCCAATGCCACCCTGCAGCCCAGGGCACCCCAAGGTATGTTCTTACTAGATCTCGGTTTCTGGGGTTGTTGAGTGGCTTCCATTTCTCTTCGTTTCCCAGTGTGGCTTCAGGTGCGTGCCCCGAGAGTAGCAAGGCAACATACAGCGGCAGGAGGCGTGCCTGGGGCATGGCAGAGTGGAGCTACGTGAAAGGGGAGATGGGAAACCCTCTGACAGTCAGTGAGAATGTAGAAAAGAGAAAGCATATTTCCAACGAGAGACAGGACAAGAGAAACTGGTTCACATCAATTTCACAGGGATCTTTTTCCCACATGTAATTTCCAATGAGGCCCTAAAGGATCCAGTTTGATTCAAGTGATACTAGAATGCACTAGTGATAAACAAAGCAACTATAAGTACAACCTAGACCATCAGAGTATGTCTTTTACATCTTTGGAAAAATGAAAGAAAGAAAAAGAAAAGAAAAAATGAACACTTTATGATCTCCAAAGAAAGCACAATTAAAAAAAATTATTCAAATTATTCATAAGTCTTAATACAGCAGCCTTCTGAAAGATAGAAAGAAGGAAAGAAATGACTTTGGATCCCCTAAACTGAGATATGCCTCTTACATACATATCTAAGACAGACATATACCCTAGCAAGGTGAGTGGAGATAGCAGCCAGCCACCCAAGGTGTGAAAATGAAACATAGAGAAAGGGCTCATCAGAACACTTACCGGGAGTTTGGCTTTGGCTGGCCCTTGTTGGTCCCCTGTCTGCACTCTGCAAGGTAACTCCTGGTACTTACACCCAGTGGACGGGCTGCAGGTGGGAGTCACTGACGTGAGCAGAAGGAATTCAAAAATAATGATTCCATTTCCAGCCACAACAATAAAGACCCTTGAGAATCCAATCTTCAGATTTCGTAGGACTAACTCCAAAACTCACTTTGTCTTACAAATTCAGAAGCCCTCCTCAAGCCACAGAACATTTTCTAAAACACAGGAGACACTTCCACACAGCAAAGTGGCTTTCCTCTTCCCACTTTTCATAGAAGGTATCCACACAGTAGTTGGGAATAGGATGGTGATGATCCCATCTAATCGAATGCTCTTTCAGCCACGTTAGCTTTTTAAATTACCAGCATTTTTGGACAAGACTTTTCTATTGCAAGAGGCAAAATTACGTTTTGATTTACACATTGTATTCCTTCTGAGAATCTCAGGAAGCTTACAAGTTTTAAATAGTGACATTGATATTATAATAACCCTCAAAACAGAACAATGAGATCTCACAGGTTTCGTGAGAAAAAGAAAAAAATACTATAACTTCAATACCCTCTTACTGAATAAATACAATGTGTGGAAAATAATAGAGTCAAAAAAGTGAACTTAGTGAGTTGTGAAGCTGCCTTGGTTCTAATCATTCAGAGCCAATCCGGGATAGGTCTTCTGTTGAGGAGGTTGGGAATCTGCACTGGAAATGAGAGGGTATGGCCACAGGCTGAGCTTTCTGCTCACGACCTTGGCTAAGTCACAACAGCCTTCTTTTGTTCATTTTGACAGTCTCTCTCTCTCTCTCTCTCTCTGCTCACTCCTTAGAGATGTTCTACTGACAAGACACATGGAACTACACTAGACCTCTGGAGCCAGAGCAGCCACATGGAGACCCCTGCCAGTGCTTAGATGCTCAACACCACTGGATCCACAAGATTTCTCACCCAATGGCCTGTGATCTTTCTGCATTCTGTGTCATTGCATGTGTTTCCTGAGTCTGAAGAGGACTTTATAGATTGGTATTGAACATATGGGTTAATATCGGACTTGATCTGGACTGGGCTGGGATATTTTCTCAATGTTCAACAGCTCTTTTATATAAACCTTTTTCTTATACACATACGAGTCGCTATGAATTTGTTTCTCTAGTCCTCCCAGACTAACACAGCATCTTTGGATCACACAAAATGTTGTGCTTTTTCTGTGTGGAATTGGACTTAGTTGATGCCTCCCTTAGATTGATGGCTGCTTTTTTGGATGCAAGCCTTGAAGATGCTAGGCATAATTCTGATTGACAGCGGGGCACCATCTACTTTCTTCACCACACTGTGCTATAGCACCCTTACCTTCATTTCATGAAGGTGAGTATTGAGCAGGGTCATGTTACCAGGACCAACTGCTCTTGGATTGAGGCATGAGTTAAGTAGGTGCCCAGGCTCCATCTGCTTGGCCCTGGGGCTAACACTTCTTTTACTTCGGCAGTCGTAATATGACAAAATCAAACCCTAAAAGACCAATGGCATCAATGGCACCGGGACGGCAACCAGCAACCAAACAGAACACACACACCGCCAAAAAAGGAAAGGAAGAAAAGCAAGCTACACGCAGGGAAGCAGAAGCCCATGCAAACAAAGAAGCACAGCCTGTCAATCACCCTGCTGGGGTAGAAGGCGATTGCACTATGAGCACCCTCCACTTTCCCCATGACCCCGCATGCAGGACGCTGGGGGTGTGAGGAGTCCATGCGAGCGCAGTTCCACCTTGAGCCGCAGCCCAGGCGGTTTTGCCCGACCCAGTGCCATCTCTCCTTCCATTGAGGAGAGAGGCGGCCATAACGGGCAGGAAGCGGAGTCCGGAAACCATGCTGCTGCTGTTGCCAACTTTTAATGAGAGATTTCAGCTCCTTTACATGTCAGCGGTGACGGGAACGAGGTTTTGAGCTTCCTTCCGTGCTAGGGGAGGGGGTGAGGCGCTGTGCAGTCCTGCCCTCCGCACCCTCCCTGCTCCGTGTGAGGCCTTTGTTGCAGCCACGGTGCCGATCCATTTTTCTGAGGGTCTCATCTCATGGAATACATTGGAATGTTATGCTATCACTGTCCTTAAAACGCCAGAACTTGACGAAGCTCTCTGGTCCATAAGGATTTCCTACGTAGTGTCACTATGAGTCGGAATCAATTCCATGACACTGGGTTTGGAATAATTAAACAGTAATAAAAAGAGTAGTAAATTGCTAATGAGATTCCAGCAAAATCACTACACTGAAAACTCCTTAGAGTCTTCGTGTGGAATCCAATACACAGACAATACTATTTTTAACAATGAAAACACGAATTAATTCAGAATAGATTGCAGAGCCTTCTAGCTATGCACAACTACTAACTTCAGTTCTGTTTGTATAGGAAGTAAACAAATCATTTGTTCTCCCTTTAAAGCTACTGGTTTAAGAAATATTTCTAGTTTCTCAAAGGAACAATGGCTTAAAAGTAACACAGAGCTAGTACAGCCTTCTTCACTAAGACTAGAGTTTTCCTGATGGCTCAAATAAATGACATTAAATGATTGTCATAAATTTCTGGTCAATTCCAGAGCGTGTACACTGGTACAGATAAGAACTTGAAACACAGAGAATGCAGGACAGATAAACCCCTCAGAACCAATAATGAGAGCAATGATACCAGGAGGGTAAGGGTAAGGTGGGGTGAGAAAAGGGGAACTGATCAAAATGATTGACCGCTAACCCCCTCCCTAGGGGGACAGACAACAGAAAGGTGGGTGGAGGAAGACAGTGGTAGGTGTAAGGAATAAAAAATTGATAAATTATCAAGGGTTCATAAGGGAGGGAGAGTGGGGAAGAGTGGAAGGAAATACCAAGGGCTCAAGTAGAATGAAAATATTTTGAGAATGATGATGGCAACATATGTACAAATGTGCTTGATGCAAAGGATGAATGTGTGGATTGTGATAAGAGCTGTAAAAGCCCTCAATAAAATGAATAAAAAATAATAGTAAAATTAAATTTAAAAAAGAAGAAAAATTTCTGGTCTATTTTAAAGGGGTAAATATATGCTATTACTCTTTTTCTTGTCTAGTGAAGTCAATGAAGGCATTTTCTTTAGAATGTGTCAACGCAGCACTAAGTAACTATCAAGCAATTATTTGGTTCATATATTCAGTTGAAAGAGAAGGCAGAACAAAACAACCAAATAGAATATTATTGGTTTCAAAACCATTAATTTCTGGTCTAAGTGTTCCCATTTGGTTTGTTCATTAAGTTGAGCATTTGCAAAAAGCAGGAGTTGAACATAAGCAAGAAATCATATCATTGTGTGCTCACCTCCATGATATGATTGCTGAAGACAAATGGGTGCATAAGCAAATGTGGCGAAGAAAGCTGATGGTGCCCGGCTATCAAAAGGTATAGCATCTGGGGTCGTAAAGGCTTGAAGGTAAACAAGCGGCCATGTAGCTCAGAGGCAACAAAGCCCACATGGAAGAAACACACCAGCCTGTGAGATTATGAGGTGTTGAAGGGATCAGGTATAAGGCATCATCAGTACAAAAAAATATTACCATAGCGAATGAGGGGGTGGATGCAGAGTGGAGACCCAAAGCCCATTAGTAGGCCACTGGAGATCCCCTTGCAGAGGGGTCTTGGGGAGGAGACGAGCCAGTCAGGGTGCGATGTAGCAATGATGAAAAATACAATTTTCCTCTAGTTCCTAAATGCTTCCTGCTGCCCCCACCCCCACCCCCATCATGATCCAAATTCTACCTTGCAAGTCTGGCTGAACCAGAGGATGTACACTGGTACAGATAGGAACTGGAAACACTGGGAATCCAGGGCGGACGATCTCTTCAGGACCAGTAGTGTGAGTGGTGATACTGGGAGGGTAGAGGGAAAGTGGGTTGGAAAGGAGGAACCAATTACAAGGATCTACATGTGACCTCCTCCCTGGGGGATAGACAACAGAAGAGTGGGTGAAGGGCAAGATATGACAAAATAATAATTTATAAATTATCAAGGGCTCATGAGGGAGGGGGGAGTGGGGAAGGAGGGGGAAAATGAGGACCTGATGCCAGGGGCTTAAGTGGAGAGCAAATGTTTTGAGAAAGATGAGGGCAATGAATGTACAAATATGCTTTACACAATTGATGTATGTATGGATTGTGATAAATGTATGAGCCCCTAATAAAATGATTTTAAAAATAGTGTATATATTTTTTTTAAATCCTCTCCATTTTGCATGAGCTTTGAACCGGTCCTTCACAAGCTTTCTGCAACTGATCTTTGTATGTCAACTCTCTAATAAAGTCTTCTCTGATTAATCTGGGGAAAAAAAAAGAAAGGGAGGGAGGCCCTTTCACATCCACATGTCATCTGAAGGCTGACATTTCTCTATTACAAATCAGAGGAAAACAGAATACTCAGTGCAGGCTAGCCAAAGAAAAGAACTCCATGAAATGTGTGTTAATTAAATTTAAACTGTCTATCCGACTGCAAATTCAAATCTAACAGTCATGGTAAGGAAAGAATGCCTTAGGAAGTATGGAGAGGAATGTTCAAAGGAATCCTTCTGTGCCTTTTCGCATTCTTCCTGTCTCGATCAGGAAGAAGATGGAAGTGATGCAGCCACTTAGCTACTTACAGGGACAGAAATGTAATCTCCTTTCTCTTCCCCCCGGACTGCACCAGAGAACAGGGAAGTGATTACTGTTCACTGACTGCTTCCTCAGCAATGATGAGAACTTCAAAGATGAAGGAAAGGCTGCTCCTGTGATCGGTAGAGTACGCCAGACTGTGGGCTGCTCAAAGCAATAAAAACGACGTGCTGTTTGAAGGTGGACTACAGAGAAGAGGGGAGAAGTGACATGTACTTCGTGCCTTGCACGGAACAGAAGCAAAGGGCCCTTGAGTTTCAGGGAGCCAAAAGTAACTGTGGTAAACTGATGAATACAGGCTCGGTCCCCCTTACATCCTAGGATCACATAAACCCCCATATCCTAAGAGACCTTGGGGAGGTGAGGGAGGACCCAGAAGTCACTGAAATTGAATTCCCTCCTACTTTCATTGGAACATAGGTGCAAAGTCATACAATGGGGTCAGTTCAGACTCATCATGACCCCATTTACAATGTCACAACACACTGCCCGATCCTGCGCCACCCTCACCATTGCTGCAGCCCATCGGTGCAGCCCGTGTCCATCCATCTTGTGCAGGGTTTTGCTCTTCTGCACTGACCCCACCCTCTCCTTTACCAAGCAGGATGCCATTTTCCAAGGACTGCTCTCTCCTGATAACATGTCTGACTCTATAGAGTTGACGCTCAAAATTCCCTAATCATTTCCTATGGAGAAAAATCACTATTTAGTAATGTGTTTTTTTGGCTGACATATTCTTTCCATTGTAAAAACCACCTCTGGTTACAGAAGGAAAAAAATCAGAAACCTTATTGGATGTAACAAGCTTTTACAAGTGGCCTTAGAAATTTTAAGCTAAACAATATTTTATGAAGAGACAAGCAATAATTCTTAGTAAGTTTGTATGGTTTAGGTCTTTTTCATAGGACACTTGACAGGAAGTTTGTCACTTATATGAAGTGTCATAAAATAAAGGCAAGAGCAAATCAACTTTTAACAATAACAACAACAAAAAGGCACTTAACACGACAGTCACTGATGTTGGCTGACAATTATGGAATATCAAGGTGAAACAAAATTCACTCCCTGGCTTGTTTTCCCAATTGCCTCTGCCCTCTGGCATCCAAAATAAGGATTTCCCACAAGGAGGGGCTGCAGTGGAATTTCATCAGTAATTAGCTTAGGTCAATCCCTGGATTTTTCTTTTATTCTCTCCCCATTCCCCCTCTATATCCTAAAGCGGCACCATAATTTTAAAAACATTAAGTATCTGGAATGGATGCTTAAGATCAAGACATATGTTGAGCGGTTTCAAAAGATGTAGAGCTCTTCATGGGAAAGAGAGAAGGTGTTTTGTGGTCACAATTATTTCAGAAAGTAGTTATATTCAAATAACCTGACTTATCAAGCTTTAGCCATTACAAAACCATGGTTTTGACACAGATGGTGATGGACGTCAGGCGAATGTGAACTGCTGAAAGATGCGAACAGCTGCTCTTCTGCGTAAGTTGAGAGTGCTGTAAAATTCACACAAGGACTTTATTTCTCAGGTAATATCACCTGCTTACAGCACTGCATACAACATCACAGAGACTTTTACTGAGTTACAAAACTTGGGCAGATCAGTACAGTCCTCTTTAATACCATAAAATCTCTTAGTTTGGTTGAATCCTATATTCTTTCGTGATTATTTTCAGTCCAAAAAGGTCATGTAAGTACCAAATCAAAACACCATGGGTTGCTTTCTTGGTGGTTTGTGGCAGTGCCAGATCTTTCATTCAAAGGAAGCTGGCTTTTAAAAGTCTGATCGTTTCTCCATTTACAGGAAGGTTCTCGTGCATCCCATGGAAATCAGTGCAGCTGCTCTGCATTGTTCTGGGGTTAGGTTCCCAGGTACAGACAGTTTTCAAATCCTACTGTTTTAAGATTCAATATGCCAACACCAATTTCAAAGGGTGTTTTAAAAGAAATCATTAATTTTTCCCACAAACACTGGTACCCTCAAAATTCAGTGGTCATTTCAAATAACACTATTTGGGATGACCACTCTTAGGTAACAGCCCTCTGTACTTCGTGGTTTGAATCAAAAGTCAGTTAGATGCTCTACAGTTTATTTTTTAAGAAAGTCTACTTACAACATACATAGTTGCATTTGTTAAACAACAAATAAAGATCTTGCTTCCATCATTACAGGGCATCCCTCCACCTTCTTCCTTTGGAGATAATTGTACTTAGTGTAATAAGTACAATTCAGAAGGGGTTTAGGTTAAGGACCCAGGCTACTAGATCTTGTGTTATTAGCATAACAAAAGAAACCTCTGTTTTCAAACAAGGTCATATTTGTAGGGATATGGTTAGAACTTCAATATAATTTGGTGGGAGTACATTCAATCCACAACAGCATAATCTTTATTGAATATTTAATATATTCCAAGCCTTTATGCTAAGTGATTCATACCACTGTCAAATGTGACACCATTCTAAAATATAGACAATTTTCTTTCCCTTCTATACATGGTGGGGAGGGGGACAGAGAGAGGAGGCTATAAGGAAAGGTACATTTTCATGGCTGGTTTTCCAGCTTGCTTCTTGGTATAAACCTGAATCTGTTTCTTTAGGAGGAGTTTGGACCTAGACTTTTGTAGTCATCAGAATTTAAAATAAGAAATACAAGGAGGCTTCAAAAAAAAGTTCATGGGAAAAAATCCTGTGGTCTATTTGCTCTATTTTTCCATGAAACTTTTTCTGCCTCTGTAAAGATCGCAGCCTCAGAAACCCCAGGGAGCAGCTCTACTCTGTCCTGTGAGGTCACTTGCGTTGGACTTGACTCAATGGCAGCGGGTTTGGTTGTTTGGAAGCCTCCTCCTCTATGAACAAGAATGACTTCTGAGATGATGCCAGGATGAAGACTGAAACGTAAAATTCTCTCGGAGGATTTGGGCCGCTGAGGGCCGATATCACTCTAGTCAGAAGCATTAGGGGATGAGGTAGGCTGGGAAAATGCTCCCTCTCCTTACAAGATACCAGATCTGAATGTATGGAACCCATAGTGTTAATCCCTCAGGGAACATGATCTTTTCAAGTTTGATGCAATTAAGGTTTTTGAGATGATCCTGGATTAACCGATAGGCCTTTGATGAAATCACAACTGTCCTTATAACAGAGGCAACATTTTATCCACACAGAGAAGATGGTGCTATGGAGATAGAGCGCAGGGAGATTAGAAGACACAGGTCTTCAAGACTGGAGTGCTAACATGCCAGCAGCCATGAGAAGCTGGAAAATACAGAGGATTCCCCCCTCAAGCCTGGCTCTGTAGACATCTGGGTTTCATTCAGCCCAGTGATACTAATTTCAGCCTTCTGGTCCCTAGAAGTGTGAGAGAATAAATCTCTCTTATTGTAAGCCACCCAATTTGTGGAAGTTATTATGGCAGCCGAGGATGTGGGGATGTCAGTTCAGAAACAAAGGAGGAAGACCTCTGACTCCGAACAAGTGTTGGTTTAGAGTGGACTGAACTGCCCCGTCGACAGACCTAGAATCAGGATCCAAATTCTTTACCTGCTTTTGAGAAAGGATAACCTTCTTGTCATCCAACCAACCATGTAAAATAGATGTGATTGTTAGGTTGTATGTCAGCTTGGGTGGGCCAGGATTCTCCCATGATAGGATCTACCATAGTATGGTCAGTTCCATGATGGGATCTCCTATGAAGCATCCAAGCAGTTGTGGGAAGAATGTTGTTGCTAAGTGCCTTCGAATCAGTTCCAATTCACAGTGACCCTCTGTACAAGTGAACAAAACACTGCCCAGTCCTGTGCCATCCTCATTCATTTTCCTATGTTTGAGTGCCTTGTTGTAGCCATTGTGCCAATCCATCTTGGGTCTTCCTATATTTTACTGCCCCTCTGCTTTACCAAGCATGATGTCCTTCCCTAGGAACTATCTCTTTTGGCAACTCATGTCCAAACTACATGAGACAGAGTCTCTCCATCCTTCCCCTAAGAAGCATTCTGGCTGTCCTTTTCCCAAGACAGAGCTGTTTGTTCTTTTGGCAGTCCATAGTACTTTCAATATTCTTTGCTAGTGGGAAGAATGAACTTCCTAAATCTGGTCACAGACTGGATACACTAGAGCAGCGGTTCTCAACCTTCCTAATGCTGTGACCCCTTAATACAGTTCCTCATGTTGTCTTGACCACCTACCAACCATAAAATGATTTTTGTTGCTACTTCAAAACTGTAATTTTGCTACTGTTATGAATTGGGTGACCCCTGTGAAAGGGTCATTCAACCCCCAAAGGGGTCACAACCCACAGGTTGAGAACCGCTGCACTAGAGGGATATCTCATTCAGGGTATGGTTTACTCTTAGTATATATTGATAGTATGTGGAAGGTAACTGACTTCTATTTTTGGATTTGGATCCTTTATCTGGGTTGTAGATCTCTTGCTCCTGCTGATTCCAAGAACCATCAGGGACTGCCAACCTTAGATTTGTTCAACTGATCTTAGATTCTTTCAAATTTGTATTCATCAGCCTGAGGTCTCCATGCTTCACCTGCCTGCTTCTTGTTCATCAGCCCTTGTAGCTACAGGAACCTAGGAGAAGCTTTCAGCTTACATCTGACCCATGGACTTGAATGAGACTGGATTTACCTACTTCTGCAACTGTATGAGCCTTTTCTTGATATAAGACACACACACACACACACACACACACACACACACACACGTATATGATCACTAGTTTTGTTTTTCCAGAGAACTCAGCCTAACACAATGGAGTTGGGTTGAAATGTCTATTATGAAACTTGAGATTTATGTGAAAGAAGTAAGACTTCAAAATGTTCTTTTGATACAGAAGTGAGAAAAGGCTCCATATCATCCTAGATTAGCGAAGGCTTTATGCCTGAGTCACATAATTTTGTAATGGAACATATAATAAAGTTAAGCATCCAGAAGATTGACCACACATCATTTGCTAAAATACTTCCAATACCTCCAAGTACATTTTGTATGACAAAGGGCAGTAGTTTCAGAGAAGGAGAAAATTGAAGATAATTTGACTGGTATTTCTTCGGATATTTTGGGAGGAAATTGAGCAAATTATTCTCTTTCTTAGTGCTGTTCATCAATTGTGAACTCTGAAATAGAGCAAGCGAACTTATTTCATTTAATAAAAAAATAAGCAAACCCCAAACCAAAAGCGTCCCTACTAAAATTTATTGTTAGTCCCTAGAATTTGGGGAGCTCTTCAGTAGACTAGGATCATACAACGTGCTCCAGTTATCTTAAACAAC